ATTTTCAGACCTGGCTGATCTCCAGGATGTAACTATCTTTTTGATCTAATATATATGATTATCTTTTGTCAAAAAAAAAAAGGCATAAAAATCAGAAATTTTTTTCGTTTGTTTTTTTTTTCTTCTTTCATTTACAGATTTTTTAGGTTTGAATTTTCTTCGCTGCTTTTCATAAAAAACGGGAACATTTTAATCATTTGTTGACGTTAACCTTTTTAAATAGTTACTTAGTAAATCATTTTCCAACCAATTCTTTTTACACTGACGTTTAATATGTTCTTATATTAGTAAATATATACATCAATTTTCTAATTCATATATATATATATATATATATATATATATATATATTATATCTCAAATGCACGTAAAATAAAAACTTTTGACATACATATAATAAATATTTTTAAAAAGTGCATATATGTAGGGATGTGTAATTGTTTGGTCTGTATTGTACCGCATCGGGGAAGTTCGACGTTTGGATCATATCGTTCCTGATCAAATGTGATGTGGTCCGATTCTTAATTATATTAATATTATAATTATAGATATTAAAAAATAAACCGAATTGATACTTAGACAAGATATAAACCGAATGGATGCAATGATGAGTCGCTCCTTAGTTCTAAGATCTATTTTCTCTATTTGACTATGTTAATCACAATTCCTATAAATAATTGATGATGTTCATAACAAGTTTACGACAATATTAGTCTTACCATATGCATTAGATACTTACCCTGCAGTTTTTTTTTATCTTTTCACATCATATTGGGTACATAATTTGATGAATTTAAAGTGAGTTTCGTACTAAAAACACAGATTTATAATTAAAAATAATTTTATTAACTTAAAATGTTAACAAATCACAAATAGTTTTCACATTATATTGGGTACATAATTTGATGAATTTAAAGTGATTTTCATATTAAAAACACAGATTTATAATTAAAAATAATTGTATTAACCTAAAATATTAACAAATCACAAATAATTTGAACATCATATTAATTTAGACTAACATAAAAGTAACCCGGCCATTGGCCGGGAAGAAAGCTAGTAATAATAATAATAAGGATTAGTGTTTCCGGATTTCCCAGTTACAAACCAAAACCCAGTCCTAAGTCCTTAGCCTTCATCAGCTGGATAACTAAAAGTGAGCAATGAGGGTAGCAAGACAATTACTGAGCAATCATTTGTCGCCTCAGGTCTTCTCTCTTTTCCTTTGTACCTACTAGAGTCATTTGAGAATCCGAAATGGTACTAGCGACGGGTTATAGCAATCGTTGTCGAGCTGGAAATCGTGACAAATTCCAATATGCAAATTATGTAGCACAGTACACAGAGCCACTATATATGTTGGTTAAAAAGCTTGCACTCTTCATGCTAAACTAGTGCTAGATATCCATGGGCACCGAAGCAGAATTCTTCGAGGGAAAATTGATGAGCAACAATTAATACCGTAGAATCTTAATAACATTACTTATAGATAAATGGAATCGAAAGTTCAAAGATGATTTAAAGAATCAGGTTCTTCTTGAAAACGAGTATTATTCACTACAGCATTAGGCTGTTGGGGAAACAACAGTTCACTCACCAAACACTAAACTGCAAAACTACAACATGCTGTCTTCTTTAAAAGCAGCAGCAGCAGAAGAGAATAGAACTGTATTACAACATCAATGAAGAATCAAAAACTAATGTAGCACTAACATGAAAGGAATGTTTCAACTCTTCAATCACTTCAGTGCATTAACAATCCATCAATCATCACCTCAGACACCTACCTACCAACCTCGGAAGTTCATTTTTTTTTACAATAACCGCTGAAGTTGCTGATGATTCAAATATTGATGTATCACTAACAAAAAACGAATGTTTGAACCCTTGTAGTGGACTTGCTCGGGAACAGCCATCAATCTTCACTTCCGACACCTAGCTAACAACCTCAGAAGTAGTTTTTTTTACATGAATGTGCATCACTAACAAAAAAAGGAATGTAAGATTTGCAAGATCCGACACCTAGCTTAGAACCTCAGAAGTAGTTTTTTTTTACATGAATGTGCATCACTAACAAAAAAAGGAATGTAAGATTTGCAAGATTTCCTGCAGCCAAAGCTTGGTCCAACTCCAGATGCAACCGACGGAGAGTAGTAGTGTTTGGCTTTGGTTCTTGATTAAGAACTATGATCTTTTTCAAAAGCTCGTCAACAGGGTGCTCTCACTTGGATCCCTGAGGATGGAGGAATCAAGATGAAGCTTGTGAATAAATAAAGAAAGGTAATAGCAGCCGATTGAAAAGATAAGGTATAAACTGGTAAGCCCTATCCCAGAAACACAGCAAGAAGTCTCCAAGAAAGAAATGAGATTAGGGTTCTGTTAACTCACATCTGAGAGAATGAAGATTTAGGCCTGCGGGATCCAAGCTCAAGACTTTCTTCTGCGCTCCTCTGCGATCAGGAGTATAAGTCCAGGGACAAAGACAGGAAGAATGATTGCAGAAATCTTCACCAGTAAAGTAGAATGGGGAATGAACGGAAGAAGGATAATGGCTGAGCCGCGTAGGATTGGAGTGACGGGTAGTGGGATTAAGGACGAGCAGTTTGTTAGGAAAGTTGGGAAGAGGGCCGGTACTTGGCATGATTGTGAAGACCGTGTCCATCATATATGTGAGGACCGTGCTTGTATCTGGAAAACACATCCGAGGATACTCTGGAAACAAAAGGCAGAGACAACTCTGTTTTCACTAAGATAGATTTCTCAGCTGGGCGGCACAGAGCAGAGGAGCAGATGGATGGTTACAGTGGCCAGAATTAGCTAGCAGAAGTTGATCGACAAGTGCAGATTTTTTGTTTGAGAATCTGTAAAAAGGAGAGCTAGAGGAATTTCTGGATGCGGCAACAGTTGTTCTTCTTGTTTGAGGAAGAAACGAAGAACGGAGAGGAGAGAGGAGAGAGGCGAGAGTGGAAGATAATTGAATCACAAGTGTGGACTGGAGATTTCATTAAAAAAAAAGGGAGCGGATAGTATAACAACAGCTCAGGATTCATTAAGGGTAATAGGGTAATTTAATATAAAAAATTAAATAAAAATAAAATCTAATTAATCCATCTCTGCCACCGCAGCACCTTCCCCCTGCATCTCAGTCGGCGGAGGCAGCACGGGACCATCGGAAGTGAAGGTCAGCGTCGTCGTAGCCATTGCTGTTTCCGTTAACGGCGTGGATCGAGCCGAAGGAGCCCTCGGAGTAGCCAGGGTTCGGATCCAGTTCAGCTAAAGAAGATCCGAATCAAAAACCCTCGGGGGAGGAGTCGGCGGGCTGATCCTGCCTTCCGACCACCGCCGCATCGGTGACGCTTCTCCACTGCCCTGCTTCTTCCACGCCGCTCCTGCTTCTCCACAACCCTGATTCTTCCACGCCGCTCTTGCTTCTTCTATCACATAGCAATTTATACTGCGATGATGGAACTCGAGTCTTCTCTTGTTGGGTACATTTCCAGTTTGTGATTACGACAAGAATTGTTGAAAATTGGAGATGCAAAGCTAATTCCAACAAGAAAAGGACCTCGATCTCTCAGGTATGTTAATTAATTAATTAAATAATTATCATGTATGTAGGTTAATAGAGCAGGAGGAAGTCTTCGATCGGTTAGGTAAATGACTAATAAGTCTTGGATGAATTAATCAATGAAGACTTCTCATTTGAATGATATAGTCATAGAACACCAGGTCAAATTGCAGGTTAAATTGATTATTTGTATTTTAGTGTATTATTGTGTTTATCATATGCATTTAGGAGATATCGGTATACAGATCACTAGTCTTTAATAAACACACCAAAAACCTCCTAATGCAGACCACAAAAGTGATAAAAAACCATAAAAAAGCAAACTAAAAACCTTCTAATGCATACCACAAATTCCCTAAAACAAACCACAAGCCTTACAAAGCAAACCACAACATTTGCGAAAACACACCAGAAACCTCCTAATGCAGACCACACACGTGATAAAAAACCACAAAAAAGCAAACCAGAAACCTCCTAATGGAGACCACAAATCCTCTAAAACAAACCACAAACCCCACAATGCAAACCACAACATTTGCGAAAGCACACCAGAAACCTCCTAATGCAAGCCACAAACACAGTAAATCAAACCACAAAAAAGCAAACCATAAACGTCCTAATGCAGACCACAAATATACTAAAACAAGCCAGAAATCTCACAATGCAAACCACAAAATTTTTTAAAGCAAACCAAAAACTCTCAATGCAAACCACAAACACGATAAAGCAAACCACAAACTTCTCAATGCAAACCACAAACGCGATAAAGCAAACCATAAAAGGCATACAAAAATGTGAGAAACCAAACCATAAATCTCACAATGGTAACCATAACATCCGGTGATCGTTGACCGGTCAACGAAGACCGTTGATCGGTCAACGAAGTTATTTGACCGAACTCCGGTGACCGTCAGTGAGCAGATTCCGACGCCGATAGGCATATTCCGGCCCCGATGACTAGATTCCGACGCCGATAAGCATATTCCGGCCACAAATAGCATATTCCGACGACAAAAGGCACATTCTGGTGACCGGCGACCATTTTCCGGCGACCGTGTCAGAATTCTGGCGACCAAATTTTTGGGCAGAAAAAAAAAATATTTTTATTTTTTATTTTTTATTTAAATAGATTTTTCATAATAACAATTATACCCCTGCTTTGATTTTACACTAGATCAACTCATCTAATAAAAAGTCATCACAATCTTAGCTTCTTATTGGTTGGGGACTAGTGTTGTTACAATAACAACACAATAGGTGTTGTTATAGTAACCGGTACCCAAAAAAAATCATAAAAAGACTGGAGATTGTCGATATTTGTTTACCGAACGCAATAAAAAGTAATGAATCACAACTTCACAAGCTAAAAGGCCCATACCTGACCCAACATCAGAGCGCCCCGTGCTGCCGAAGCCCAAAATAGCGGCCCAAGAAAGTCAAAACCCTAGGAAGGGATTTGAGTGGCATATATATATTCTCCCCAAATGTTCGCTCATAACCTCTCGGTTTGTAGCTGCTGTAGAAGAGAGGGAGCGAAAGGAAGCAGAGGACAATCATGGTGTCGCTGAAGCTCCAGAAGAGGCTTGCCTCTAGTGTCCTCGGGTGCGGCAAAGGAAAGGTCTGGCTTGATCCAAATGAAGGCAACGAGATCTCCATGGCTAACTCCCGTACGTTCCTTCGCCCTCCGTTTGTTGTCATTTCGATCTGCTTTCGTTGTACAGTTTTGAGTACAGAGATTATGGATTAGCCATGAAGTCTCTGTAGTTTTTTCTTGATCAGTTTCTAGGTTTTTGTATGATTAGGGTATTGTGTGCAAAGATAGAGAATTAGTGATAGCTAGCTTGAAGGTCAAACTGACTAGGTGGAGCTCTGATTTTGGAGAGGTCGAGAGTAGTCCAGTTTCACCACTTCAATCTGCGCCAGTATTGTACAATTGGGGATCATTACCTTAGCCGTGTAGAATCAGCTATAGTAAGCTCTTGCTAGTGTGATAATACTGACAATATATATCTGAAAACGTTGGAACATTTTTGTTATTATTCAAATTCTGGGTTTTGGAAGAAGTATGATATGACTTTCCAGTTACTTTCTTGAAGACCTGTGGTTGATGTTTTTCTGAAGTGTGGGAATTACTTCATGTTGATTGTGATACCCATTAGGGATTTCCTAGAGTAATCATTGAATTCAGCTTTTGGATAATCTGTGTCTGGTTTTTGTTATATGCAGGCCAGAACATCAGGAAGCTCGTCAAGGATGGTTTCATCATCAGGAAGCCAACCAAGATTCACTCCCGCTCACGCGCACGTCGTATGAAGGAGGCCAAGAGAAAGGGACGTCATTCTGGATATGGTATGGTTTTCCTCTTGGTATTTCTCTCAAAGATGTTCTTGTTATGTAAAACTTGAAGTACTGATAAAAATATTTGCAAATCTCCGTTTTCTAATTGGCTTGTTGTTTGAAATGATTCAAGGTAAGCGCAAGGGTACCAGGGAGGCTAGGCTTCCAACCAAGATCCTTTGGATGCGAAGAATGCGTGTTCTGAGGCGCCTCCTCCGTAAGTACAGGGAGGCTAAGAAGATTGACAAACACATGTACCATGACATGTACATGAAGGTTAAGGGTAATGTCTTCAAGAACAAGAGAGTGCTCATGGAGAGCATCCACAAGTCCAAGGCAGAGAAGGCAAGAGAGAAGACATTGTCCGATCAGTTTGAGGCCAAGAGGGCAAAGAACAAGGCAAGCAGGGAGAGGAAGTTTGCCAGGAGGGAGGAACGCTTGGCCCAGGTCAGACATTTGCGTCAGGATATTTTTTGTTGGAATCTTATGAATGCCTTTCATACTGCAATCGTTTTGGTAGCTAAGCTACAAGTTTCAACCCCTGGATCTGATACGATTGTAATGTCTTAAACTGTACAGGGACCGATGGCTATGGAGAAACCTGCTCCTGCACCAGCTGCTACTGCACCTAAAGCAACTGAGTGAGCATCCGTTTATCAATTGATGTCCTTTGAGTGTTATTTTGAGTGTGGTTCGACTGTCTGAGTGATGTCCTTTGTTTGTTTCTCCTGTGCTTGCAGGGTTCCAAGCAAGAAATCCAAGAAGTGAGATTGCTGGACAAGTGGATGAAGGTTTTGGGAGTTTTGTTTCGTTGTGTCTATTTTATTTTCTGTAGCAGCAGTTTAGCTCTTACGTTTTGGTTGCTCAAGGCACGGATGTTTATTTTCTTGGATTATGTTTGTATGGATAATTTTACTTGCTGCCCTTCTAGACTGGTTAAATATATTTGCAGATTTTACAGAATATGTAAAATGTTGTGGTTTTTGCCTTTTGTCTTCTTTCCTGCTTTACTTGAGTTATAGATTACTCTTGATTCAGCAATGGTATGCTGGTTCTACTAAATTAATTCACAAGGATCAATGGCGGCATTCTAGACTACAAATGTGCACAACCCAGAAGCTGCTTTTGAGCAACTCTTGATTCAAAGCATATCTATTATAATTCTATGCAACTATGAGAACAGTTTGGTAATGATTAAATGCTAGTCAACTATGAACTGATATGAAATGTGCAATAAGTTGTAGGCAGATTGAGGCTGAGATTTGACACGAACTGCTCGATTAGCAGCAAGGTTGTCAAAACGGTTTATATCGTTGTGTCGGTTTAGCAAGTGAAATGGTTCTACCGGTGATACAATTTGTTTGTGTCGGTTCATGCAGGTTAATAAAATATGTAGAAATGTCAAAAATCATTAATGTCAAATGAATTTAATCATATATAAACCATATTTGAAGACAATTTATGTATAATTCATATTGATATTTATATAAAATGTGATATTTTCAATAAAATTACTTGTATTTAAATTCACTAAAACGACATCATTTTACTTAGAAATTCGCAGATCGATCATGTCGGTCATACCGGTGGTGTCATGCCGGTTTCATGACCGAAACCGGTTGAACCAGGTTCAACCGGTGGCATGCCGGCCGGCATGACAACCATGATTAGCAGTCTTTCGAGAAAATTCTATACAATGTATTTTCTGAAGTCTCAGAGATTTAATCTGGTGGTGCATTCAGATGTATGTGCGGGTGGTAGGGTGTGGAAGTCCGTATTGGATCAAATTGATTTTTGAACCAGACTCTATCGAAACAGAATCAGATTGAATGTACTATTAGTTAGATCTTCGATTTTGAGATGTTTTACGATATTGAGCTGCGGTTCTCATAAAATTAATTCGGTCTGAACCGCTGCACATCGCCGGGTGTGTGTTGGTTGATGACAGTAAGGTCGTTCATGACACCAAGGTCATTTCAGATAAGGAACAGGAATCGCACTTGGATTATTTTGCGCATTTTGGACTGGATTTGTTTGACAATGTCTACTGCATTGTGCGCATTCTTTTCTAACAGTTGAGCGAGTCGACAATACTACTAAATTACAAATATACACCATAAAGCTAGTGACCGTTTAGGTCTTTAACCTGCACTTGGGGAACGCATCATCATATATAGGCTATATAGACCTGGAGTATAAGCCATCAGGATCCTTGTGGGTCGAGCACCACCTAAAATAAGGAATGAACTTCCAAACCATTACTCAATTCATGCCAAGCAATCCGAATAGCAGCGAGGTAGTTCGGTTCTTTCCATGTATTACAAAATTGCCTGGAGAACTGACAGTCGACACTACATATTTAGGTTGGTCATTCATACTCGAGCAGCAGATCTTTTAAGGCTCCACATTAACAAGCTCTACTGGTATAACAAGATGTGAAATCCACATTACAAAATGCGCAACCAAAGATGCACAGAACAGTTTTCATAGCTCTACCAAACATCCAAATAAGTAGCAGAAACCCTCAGCAACATCATCATCAAATGGCACCAAAATCCGCGGAGAGCCTGAAGTGACACTCTTCTACACTCTTGCCGATTTTCCAAAGCATCCTTGACAAACACGATCCTGCTTCATGTCAACATATTTTAACTGTCAAAAGCAATGCAGAAGCTGAAAATCGTTCACTTATTATTACTCACATTCATACTAAGCAACGAAACACAAAAAACTGTGGGTTCTTGCCTCTTGGTAACACTATGCAAGTAATCCATAATGTCATGTTCACCAAGGAACAAAATGCATCCGAGGTAAGTCATAATACCCAAACATCAGGACCCAACAGCATCACTGTATACCTACTCAAGCCAGGCAAAGATATCTACATTCTGGTAGTCCTTAAGCAGGTGCTACTGCTACAACAAGACCCCAACAGAGAACGATTACGCTAATTATACACATGCTACAGGTAAAAGAAAATTCTGGCGGACGCAAATGGAATTAACAAGAATGCACAAAAAAAAAACCAAGTCGATCCCTGATGAAGAACTTATGTTGATTGCTTAAGTTTTGTTTCAACCATACATTCCTATACACTGTCTATTTTAATGCTCCCGATATGCGGGCAACAACTAGGTCTGCAGAAATCTATCATAGATGGGTATGAGAGCACATGTTAAGTAATCAAAATCAGTATAGTGAGGCAACCAATTGTACAGGGCGCAGCATGGATTCGATTTGATGTTATTATGGTGTACTATGGGAGCACGTTACTAAGCCTAACACTCATGTGTAATATGATCAATTCATTCACAAAGACTGAACACCAACTGAAAATCAAAGAGCAGTATCATATGAGAAAGAAATATCCCAAATTGATAAGAACAATAACTTCAGACGAACTTACTCCTCATTGCTGTTGATTTTGTTGCTGCTGATTAGGTGGAGGCGGGGGCATGCCAGGTCGTGGGGGTCCAAACACACCACCAGGAGGAGGCGGCATGCCAGGGCGCGGCGGCGGTGGGGCTTGCATTCCAGGTCTTGGAGGAGGAGGAGGCCCTCTCATCATAGGCGGACCCTGTGGTGGAGGCATTCCCATCGGTCTCTGCGCAAACTGTGGAGGCATAGGGAACCCCTGCTGCGGTGGCCTGGGAGCAAACTGAGGCGGACCCTGCGGCGGAGGACCACGGCCCATCGGCGGCCCTTGTCCCGGGTACTGCATAGGTGGCATCTGCCCCGGTGGCCGGATAACCGGCGGGCCACCCGGTTGCGGAGCTGGGTAACTCATCGGCGGAGCAGACATGTTGGGGACGGGAGGACGCGAGATTTGCGGCTGCATCATTCCAGGAGCAGGGCCACCGACTCCGCGAACCGGTCCGGCGAGTCCAGGCTGGGCTTGGATGAGAGGAGCCGTCGGAATTCCACGCCCCGCCGCGCGACCGATTCCGGGACCGGGAATCGCACTAGCAGCCACCGACTTAGCGCGCGACTCTTCTGGAGGAGGGGGGCCTTCGACGGTCATGGACACGACTTCCTCGCCTCGGAGCAGGACGAGACCGAGAGTGCGACGGTCCTCTCGCTCCTCATTGTTCTTCTTCCCCTTCGCCGGCGGGAGCTTGCGGAACTCCTCGCAGTCGCCGAGGACGAGGTTCATATGGCGGTCGAACGCCATGAACTTACCGACCAGCTGCCGGCCGTCCTGAATCGTAACCCGCATCCGGTAGTTGATGTACTGGAGCATCTTCGAGCTCTTCGACATTGACATCCTGGCGATCTAGGGTTTCCCTCCGCCACGATTGGGCTCACCAGAGTGTAGTATTTCGGCGAGAATCAGCGAGATCTGCAAACAAAAATTAGCGGGATTTAGGGTTTTTAGATGAAGGAGCGGAAGAAGGGAACGAGGAGGACTGATCTACTGCGGTCATTTCCGTAAGTCTTCAAATCCTAACCGTCCAATATAAAACAACAATTGTTTGTTCATTGTGTTATTTATTTTGGGCCTTCTGAACCAGGCTCATGTACGGCACTGGCCTTGTATCTCACTACTTAGGCCCATGGGCTGTGTGTGTCTAAATGTAGATGATAACATAAGATATTGAAGGTTGTGACTGGATTCACATTAAAGTTAAGGTAGTAAAGTGTAATAACTTCTTTGCATATATGTTTTCTAGTCGGGTCGAGCACCATTTTTACTAAAATATAATTGAGTAATAAAATAACTCAAAATGGAAAGAGCCCACGTAAATAATTTCAAATTGCCGTAAAAAAAACCTCCTCAACAAATCATAAATGAACATCAGTCTCAAGTCTACTAAATAAAGTAGACAAGTTAAGGAATTCGCTTAAAATCTTCTACAATCACTAATTAGTAATTACTAACCCTTGCCAAGATTACATCATGCACCTCACCTTCACTATAAAAGCTCCTAATTAATTACCTCAATCCATTCTTTTCACTCTCCCTGCCGACCTTGTATTGTAACCCAAATGCACGAGAGATTATTGGGTACACCGGGAGCACCACGTAGGCATGCTGATTTGGTGCTCCCAGCCAATTAAAACCCGCCAGCTGTCCATCTGCATAAATTAATTTATTGCTTAATTCTTTCCTCAGATATCTATGCTTATAAATATCTTCAATTAATACAATAATAATACTAATTAATCCCCCTCTTTCTTCTCCTCCCTCCCAATAATTCCGCCTCCAACCAAAAGTAACCATTTTCTTCCGCTTCGTCTTCCCAACTCATCCCCTTCATAACTCCGGCGAAACAGCCACCGACTAACAGAAGCAAAAATACCGACTACAATTAACGGCATCCCTGGATTCCTCCCAATCCAAGTCAAGACCAGTCGTTTAGGAAACTGACTTCCAACTAAATCAGTGAACGAGTAACCTGTAGATGCAGCTGAGAAAAACGAAGCAAGCCAAATTAATTTTTCTCTGCAAAGAGGTTGGTGTCGGGGGACTATCGGCACAGTGGACGAAGATTGTGTTGCCGTGGACGATGTGTCTAAAGCTGCAAATGGAGCTGTAGAAAGAGTCGAGCAGCTTGTAGTGGGTTTGGAAGCAGGACATGTATCAAAATTTTAATGGCGATTATTTACTCGCCGGCTGCACGTTGGGAGGGGGAAGACGTAGAAGTATGAGAGAGAGAGAGAGAAAATAAGGGGTCCATTAGTTAGAATTATTATTTTATTATTAATTGTAGATATTTATCAGAAAAAATAATTAAGAACCAAGGCACGAAAAGCGATGAATTAATTTCTATAGATGGACAACTGGCGGATTTTAATTGGCCGGGAGCACCAAATCAGCATGCCTAGGTGGTGCTCCAGGTGTACCAAATAATCTCTCTGGCACGAGAGAGCTAACCCACCAATTATTCTCAACTCTAACCCAAAATTTAATCACACAATTGCCGCCAACAGTGTTCAATTGTAATTAGTAGTAATTAACCATGGATATTTGCTGTAGACTGCAACTTACCCTGCCCAATGTTATGAGCTATGGCCAGACAACTAACGTGCAGGTTCCTTGTAATCCACAAATACCCAAGATCATCTACGGAAGGGCACTTACCTAACGTACTCGTGGCTTCTTGTTGTCGCTCCAAGGGGAGGACTTGGCGATCGGTGGCGATGCAATATCCGACGCTCCGCCTGCCTTGTCACAGCTGGCTCCTCTGGGCGATGGTGATTCGATCGATGGATGACTGGTGATTTGGGTGATTCGGGCAGAGCTTGTGGTGATTTGGATGACTGGATGGAGGTTTGGTCGACGGAGAGAGCTTCGCTTTGGCGGCTAGGTCTTGTGAGGATAGGCAGCCTTTTCTCTCCGTTTCCTTGGTTACATACGACGTATATTGTATATACATATGTAGATAAACGGTGGGGTTCCATTGGGATTAGGTTATTACCGCAATTTTTCCAGAAATAGCACCATTTAAAAAAATTTACAGAAATAGCACACAGCCGAAAAAATTTACACTAATAACACCCTTTTTTATGGACCGCCCCCTAAGGGTGCGTTTTATACATAAACCGCACCTCTCCTGGACCAAAACCGCATCTTGGCCAAGCGGTTTCAGGTCTGACCTACAGAAACCGCTTGGCCGAGGTGCGGTTTTGTCCTAACCTAGCAAAACCGCACAATGGAGATGCGGTTTGTTTCTCCCAAGGTCAATTAATTTCCGACATGCCATGCAGAATAACAGACGTGGGTCTGCATGGCAGACGAAAACCGCACCTCTAAGGTGCGGTTTTCATCAGTGATTTTGCCTATAAAAGACTTCCCGGAAAACCATTTCTCTTCACACCTCTCCTTCTCCCTTTTCAATTTTCTGTTGTAGCTCTATATTTCTTTAGTAGTTTTGCGATTAACATTAACTCGTAAGTCTATTTTGTATTACTTTTTATTGTTATTTTGTATTTTTGATTTTTATGATATTAACTGAACTACGGTTTTTTCGCAGATGGCATTCCAACCGTTCACACTTGGCTTACGGTGAATGGTTACACGGAAGAGACCGGAAAGGGGGTCACCTATGTCGGTGGCAATTTTCAGAAGATAAAGGTCGCTACCAGACCGCTGCTTGAAGACCTCCATCAAATGTGCACTAACGTTACTTGCATGGATGGCACGAGAAGAGTTGATCGTATGGTGTACCGATATCCAAACAGAGAAAGTGGGTCATTGTGGCATGAGGAATATCTCATAACCACTCAGGATGAGGTAGATGCCATACTCGAATTCTTGAGGTCCAACAATCTTTCCAAAGCCGAGATGTTCGTTTACACCGAGCCGGTCGTAGGCGTTGGAGGTCATTCTGGACACGGTCAAACATCTGGTATCCATGGTGGAGGTGAATTATATGGCGATCATCCCTACCAAAGTTACCATGATCCTAATTCCTATTTTCAGTACCAAGAGCAAGGTGAAGGTCATCATCAATCTTTCCCGTCATATGAAGAAGAAGTTCAGCCGGACCTCCCCAACCAACCTCAGTACAACTTCCAATCAGGCAGCGGTAGTTTTCACAACTACCATTATGGAGCTGATGAAGGTGCCTTTCATGAGCTGGATCAGATGGAGGATGCCCTGCCAGCACCAGTCAGTGACCCCTCCGATGAAGAAGGAGAGAACAACGTCAGTGCAGACAGCTCTGACCCTCTTGAAAGTGCTGATGATTCAGGACCAGAGTCAGACTCAGCTAATGATGATGAGGTGACTCGTGACCGTGTACCAGTCCCCTACTACAATCACATTCCAAACGACAATTGGATGGTCGACAGCGACATGGAGCCGCCAGAGGTCCCAATATGGGATCCACTCACTGAGTTTATGAAGGGCCAACAATTTGGCTCGAAGAAGGAGATGCGGCACGCCATTGAGACTGAAGCAATGACTCGACATTTTGAATGACACACAACTCATTCCAACACTAAAAGGCTCATAGTCAGATGCCGTTATCATCACGAGGGGTGCAATGTTAGGATTCGGGCCATCAACAGCAAGAGACACGGCCACTGGGTCATATCCCGTGCGGTGAACACACACACATGTGTGTCATCCATAACTTCCCAAGGCCATCGATAGTTGAAATCTAGGGTAGTTGTTGCGGCTATCAAGGAAGTCCACGAGCTTCACCGGAGGCCACGGTTTTCTTGCTCCTTGTACGTTTGCCGACGGGAGTAACAACAGGTGGTTGCGGTGGCAAGTTTCGAATGGCCGAGGTAGTGTGGCGCTCGTCGGTGCTGTGTCGGCGGGGAAGCGGCGCTTTCGGGGTCGTGCGGGGGACATCCGCGCTCATACGGTGAGGAGTAGGAGGCCACTGCTGATGAGGGCGAGTCACTGGGTTGAATTCGTGGTGCGCCATCGTGGAGGAGCCATCATGCCAAGTACCCGATGATGTTTGGCGAGGAGATGGGGGGTAGAGGGCGGGAATCGTGGTATGTTTGGCGGGGGGATGGGGGGTAGACCGGCGGGAATCATAGTTAGGGCTGGGCAAACAGACCAGATAGTTAGAAAAACCGTGGTCCAAACCGTACCGTACAGTATGGTCTGGTCCGGTCCATGGTCTGTATTATTTTATGTATTGATCTCTTGGTATGGTCTGGTCTAGATCGCGGTTTATCGGACCAAACCGTGGACCCAACCGACTTGTCAACACGTGTTAACAGCCTATTTGACCACTCTCCCAACTCCCACAACGACACCCAAGTCTCAACCTTAATTTTGTGAATCTCATCTCTCCTTCATTCACAACCACATTTAACCAGAGAGTAGAGATAATCATGTCTCAATATGACATTATGTTTATGTTTTATGACGTTATGGTGCAAGTTGGGATGCTTTTACTTTAAATCTTTGTTATGTACTAAGAATTAGAGTACCAAAATTATTCATGCATGTTTGAATTAATGTTTTAAGGCAAATAACAATTATTTTTCTTGGTTATTGGTTCAATTTTTTGTGTGGTTGACTAAACAAATTGTTCATTTTTCGTTGAGTGTGGTCTATCTAGACCAAACCAGACCGAACCAAACTGCACAGGCATGGTCTGGACCGGATCGTATAGTCTGTGGTCTGGTCTGTGGTCTATACTTCAGCCTCTCGGTCTGGACCATAGACCGTATATATGGTCTGGTCTGGACCAGACCACACCGTTTCCCAGCCCTAATCATAGTATGTTTGCCGGGGGTCGTTGTATGAGATCGGGGTGGGATCATATGGGGATTAATGGAAACTCGGAGGGGATTGATGGTAGGTCGAGCGGGGATCGTAATATGAGCTTGGGTGGGGATCGTTGTGGTAGGATGGGCGGAACTCTTGGGAAGAAGTCGGGCGGGGATCTTGGGCGGAAGTCGGGCGGGGAGCTTGGGTGGAACTCGGTCTAGCACCTTGGGTGAAACTCGGTCCGGCACCATGTGTCACAACCAATGGGGGCGACACTTTCCACGCCCCCATTGACGTTACGTCGGGCACGTTGGGCCTTTCCCGAACCCTCTTGCTCTTCTTTCTCTCGTATGGTGGTGGGGGATCGGGACATCAACTTGTACCGGAGGTGGCGGGGGTGCGTGCATGGGCGATTATCTACGATGATCCCGACCCTGAGCTCTGATACAGCCAAGCAGACTGTTTGCCATCCTCCTAATGAAGCTCACATCTTCATTGCCCAACTCAATTCTCCCGGTGGTCATATCTTTGATACGCTCGATCCCGTCAGCCTAAATCACTAAAAAAGAAAAAGTTAGAAAAAGACTTAGGAACCAAGTAATAAATTTAAAAAGATAGAAAAAGACTTAGGAACCAAGTAATAAATTTAATTGTATAGACGGAATATACTTACTAATGCACCATCGGTCGCACCCTCCGGAGTCATGTAACGAACCGATGTTTGCCGATATCGATCCAAGTATGGGTCATGATACCCCATTCGACCCACTTGAGTTGGAGTGACAATATACTGGAATTGTCGGTTCTCCCAAATCGTGATGAATTTCGCCAACTTCGTGGGCCAATCGTGAGTACCTTGCCGACCATCTCGGCCATAAAGGCCCTTTGACTATCGGGGACCTCCAATGGAATGCACTGCTCCCGACCAAACTGACGGAGGCATCGATCCGGCAAGTGCCACTCCAAGATCCCAAAACAAATTAGAGGGACCCTCGTGCACCATTGCCCGATATGACCGGGGAATTGCTGGAGATGCCAATGAACGATGTTCTCCGGGTATGGATTGAAGACGATCTACAAGAAAGAAATGAGTAACTTAAGATAGTCAAAATTGGAAAAATACATGTAGTCCCATGGAAAAAAGATATAAGTGGATCGAAGTATAGAAGTTACCTCTCCTTCCCAAAGTCGCTCAAACCTCCTCCGGTACTCGTCCAACTTGTGTTGGGCAAGGTTGTCGCATGTTGTGTGTCCGAGCCACCTTATTAAGAAGACAATAATGAAACTACAATAAGCTAAAACACAAGGGAAAATGTGATGAAAAAATATGATTAGGTATGAGAAGTTTACCTTGTACCATAAGCTTCACCTCTTAGAGGATGATCGATTGGCCAATCTCTGTCGGGATGTTGGACCGGTGCAATCCATGGCATATTTTCCCAAGCCCAAAATTGGACAATGAACATTGCGCCGCCGACCTCCCTCACTGCTTTTAGAGACGCATTGCACAAGTTGTGGTAGATCATAGCTAGGCAAGTGGATGCCCAGCTATACTCCCCCATCTCCTCCCAACTACCGAGGATGATCCTAAGCTATCCACAACTAAGGAGATTGCTTGATTTTTTTGGAGAAGAACACTCCTCCGATCATGCCTATGAGATAGACACGAGCATATCTCTCCTTCTCATCCTCCGAACTTTCCTCGGTTAGGGGATGACTCTAGTAATGGTCTCTAAAATACTTCGTCAACCAAGTAATTGAGACATGGTGTTTCCTCATTGGTGGCATGCGATCGATCGCATCAACGCACCCCTTCACCGGTACTTTCACTCCCAAAACACTGTGGATGAAATGAACCCAACCGGGCATACCGTCACGATCCTCGGGGGGATGATCACTCACGCACGCCGCTTTGCCGTTGATGGACAGATGGGTTAGGATGGCGACATCCTTTAGCGTGATGGTGGCCTCTCCTTCTCTAAAGTTCAAACAATGGGTCTCCTTTCTCCATCTCTCGGCTAATGCGGTGATGAGTTGGCGATCAACTTTGATGCCGTTAAAATGCCTAATCGAGTCCAACCGTGCCCTTTTGAGAAAGGGCAAGATAGCTGGGTGGAATGGGAGCACATTGGTCGTACCCCTGTAGTGGAG